AATAATATAAATTAAAAACAAATTATGCGGGTATCAAAAATTATACCTACACTAAAGTTAAAAACATCTAACGTAAAAATTATTTAATCCTCTTTAACCAAACTTTACATGCGCGCTACTGAATTAAAATATTTTTTTATTTTGTTCGGCACTGGACAGTACCTTGTAAGTGTCCAGCTATTAGATAGAAAATAAATAATGTTTCTTTTTTTTAGTTTTACTTAAATTTAATCTACTGTTACTGTTACTGTCATGTAATGATGCCATGCCAGGGCACTTTAAATCTAAGAAAAATTTATAAATAATGTAAAAACACGGCATTTCTAAAATTCAATATTTTAAAAATAAATTGCATCTTCATCATTCATAAGGATGTACTCCTCAGGATCCTTCTTTATTTTCAGTAACTCTATTTCCTTAACTATATTATAATCAGGAATACAATCTTGATCCTTACGCTTAGGAATAACACATTTCACGTCATCTTTTTTGCCAATGGTTTTATAATACTGTCACGAGCTTGGGGTTCGTGACAATAAAAATTGCCGATAAAATTACCTAAATTAACACTTTAATTTACTTTACACAAATTAAAGTTAAAAACACTAATAATTAAACACACTTATTCACTTTATTCCGCTCCGAAGCTTCGCTTGTTTCGCCAAATCAACACTACCTCGATCGCATCTTGCAGCGCCTATATATTTAAATTAGCAAAGAAATATCCAGAATGTTCAAGTAAACACGCGCAAGGTACCGAGCGTTCGAGTTTCGACTAGGCGCTGTCGGTTGAGTAATTTGTGATGTCATTTTCTCAATGCTCCCCTCGCTCTCGTTCCTGACACTAGATGGCGTTAGTGTATTGTCGATTTGAGCGCGTAATACTGCCCCCTCCTAAGACATGCTCGTCCCGATCATTATCGGCCCCATAATAACGCGCTAGGCGATCCACATGGACGATCTTAGGAGTCCCTCTTGCGCCTTTCTGTATCCGGTAGGTTACATCGTTGATCCTGGTCACAATCCGGTACGGGCCTTCCCATTTAGCTTGAAGCTTAGGAGATTTCCCTTTGCTGCGGACTGGATTGTGCAACCACACAAGTGAACCTTCGTCGAACCCTTTGTTGTTCATTTTGCGGTCATACCGGGTTTTCATCTTTTCAGACATTTGCTGGCCCGATTGTCTGACGTGCTCATAAACGTCATTCATTTTTTTCCGCAAGTCATTTGCATAATCGGTTATACTGCGTGGAGCATCAGGTGGTGTCCCGGTGATCAGGTCTGCAGGCAGCCGTAATTCTCTTCTAAAGTTTGCGAAAGCTGGTGTCACTGCTGTACTTTCGTGAACAGAACTTCGATATAACAACAAAAACGGTTGTATGTGCTTGTCCCAATCTCGTTGCCGATTGTCTAAAACTTTTGCTAGGTACCTCTCCAATGTCTGATTAAATCGTTCCACCATTCCATCAGATTGCGGGTGATAAGAAGTCGTTCTTGTTTTATGAGTACCCATAACTCGGCAAGTTTCCTGGAATATTTGAGACTCAAAATTCCTTCCTTGATCGCTGTGAATCTCTAAAGGTACACCAAAACGACAGAAGACTTCATGAACTAGTTTATCAGCAACTGTTGAAGCTTCTTGATTTGGAATGGCGAAGACTTCTGGCCACTTAGTGAAGTAATCCATCACAACCATGAAATACTTGTTACCGCTTTCACTCTCCGGAAACGGCCCCGCCACGTCAATGGCTATTCTCTCCCATGGTGCACCAACATTGTACAACTTCAATGCACCTCTACTACGAGTCTGAGGTCCCTTTACAGCCGCACAACTTGTACATTTGCGACACCAGTCCTCGACATCGTTTCGACAGTGGACCCAGTAAAACCGTTCTCGGATCTTCAGCAGAGTTCGTTTAACTCCCAGATGGCCTCCTGAATAATCATTATGGTACAGCTGTAGAACATCCGGTACTTTAGCTTTAGGGACAACCATTTGTAAATGACAGCTGTCTCCCCGAACATTTTCCCATTTACGGCACAGAACTCCATCCTGAAGCTGCAAGCTTCAGCCTTCACTGGGCCCAATAGCTTTTAGTGGTCGAACTCATCGCTGAGACGTCGCTCCACTTGGGCTTGGGAGCACTGGCCTTCATCCATTCCAGGATCGGCTTGATGTCCGGATCTTCCTGCTGTGCACGTTGTAAGCTGTCCTTCCACTCGTTGCTGAGGTGGTCTGCCCTGAGCATCCTCACGGATACCACTTCCTTACTCTCTTGCCTAGTACAATGTTTGCAATCTTCAGGACAAGGTCTTCTTGACAATGCATCTGCGTTGCCATGAGATTTCCCGTTGCGATGTTCGATCTCAAAGTCGTATTCCTGCAGTAGTTCAATCCACCTCGCAACTTGTCCTTCTGGATTTTTAAACTGCAATAGCCATTTTAGTGCAGCATGGTCAGTTCGTAAGTGAAATTTTCGCCCCAGAAGATATTTGCTAAAATGCTGCAACGACTTTACCACAGCTAGCAATTCGCGTCTTATTGACACAGTAGTTCCTTTCCGGTTTTGACAACGACTTGCTGAAGTACGCTATCACGACCTCTTGGTCACCATTACGTTGAGACAACACACCGCCAAGTCCTATATCACTTGCGTCTGTGTCAACTATAAATTATTTGCTTGCATCGGGGTATCCCAAAATAGGTGTTTTGCACAGACGGTCCTTGAGCTCCTGGAATGCGATATTACAACTTTCATCCCAGCAGAAATGTCGCTTCTCCTCGGTTAGCTTATGCAGAGGTTTGGCTATATCTGCAAAGTTCTTCACAAAACGTCGGTAATAGGAGCACAAACCTAAAAATGCTCTAACCTGCGTCTTGTCTTTTGGAACCGGCCAATCCTTGACAGCGGCGATTTTCTCTGGATCTGTGCGGATACCTTCTTCCGATACTACAAACCCCAAAAAGTTAACTTGCCGTTGGAATGGTAAACATTTCTTCGGGCTCAACTTGAGGTTGGCACTCTGAATCTTCATAAGCACGCGTTCCAGGTTTTGAAGGTGTTCCTTAAACGTACGGCCTACGATGATGATGTCATCCAAGTAGACCAGACAGGCATCGCCAATTAGCCCGGTAAGTACAAGTTCCATCAGCCTTTCAAACGTTGCTGGAGCATTGCACAACCCAAAAGGCATTACTTTAAATTGCCACAGACCCTTTCCCGTCGAGAATGCAGTTTTCTCCTTGTCCTTAGGGTCAATTTCAACTTGCCAGTAGCCACTTTTTAGATCCAGCGTGCTAAACCACTTTACTCCTGTAAGCATGTCCAGCGTGTCATCAATTCTTGGCAAGGGATAGCTGTCCTTCTTCGTAACGTCGTTCAGACGGCGGTAGTCAACACAAAACCGCATGCTGCCATCCTTCTTCTTCACCAGCACCACTGGTGAACACCATGGACTAGAGGAAGGTTCAATAACACCATCCTTCACCATTCCTTCAATCATGGTTTCCACTTCCTTTTCGCGTGCTACCGGCAATCTTCTTGGCCGCTGACGGATAGGCAATTCTTCTCCTGTGTTTATTTTGTGTTGAACTAAGCCAGTCTTTCCTATGTCAGCATCGTTTGATGAGAATACATCGGCGTACTCGAGTAACAACTTCTTCGCCTTGACCAATTCGTTCGGGGACAGAACACTGCGACAGTCTTCCAAAAATGTGGTCACTCTCGTTTCTGAATCCTTGCTGGGGGTCCCACTCGATATATATTGGCACTGACGTAACCAATCCACTTCCTCACAAGTACCAACCGGTGTGCCTTTTTCTATAATCTGTTCCCGGTCGCAAAGGTTCAGCACACGTACTCCTGAGATGTCAGTGGTCCTGACCAAGGTTCGAGCTACTTTCCATGGAAGGTCATTGTTTACCCTTTCCACAAGTACACAACGGTGAGCTTGCCCAGCGTTTCGAGGAAGACTAACCGGAACAATCGTTTCCGATCTCGGCGGAAGAACAATCTTCTTAAAGCTGTACACGTTCCCTGGTAACGCACCTTCCATAAAAAGTTCCTCCTGTCCACATTTCAAAACACCTTGCTTAACGTCGATCTCACAACAATTATTCCTCATAAAGTCTAGGCCTAGGATGCAGTCGTCCATTATATCAGCCACGATGACATTATGCAGGTAGATCACGTTGCCTAGCTTCAACTCCATCTCCTTCTCTCCACGGACGGATATACGCTGACCGGTGGCTGTTACCAAATTAATGCGTTCTCGGTTGTATGCGGAGTCCCCAAGGAACTGACTTATAAGTAACTAACAACCGTACGAGAGGCTCCAGTATCTATGGTCAGTTTACACGGCATTCCGTTGACCTCGCCCTTGATGATTAGACTGTTCCCATCATGGGTTTGTGAGATCGAGATCCTTGGGGCTCTTTTAACATCAGCCAGCACCCGCCCCGCAGTTCTGGCTTTTACTCGTTTCCCTGCTGCTGCAGGGCGGTGCTGTTGGCCGCACTACCCTCCTGAGATCGTTCACCTTCCCTTTCTAGGGTTCGCTTAGGGCAGCTGGATCGAAGATGGCCCTTTTCCCCACAGCCATAGCACCTAGGGCTGTATCCTCTGTTGCGGTCACGAACTGTAGTTGCTGCAACCTCCCTGATGCGATGGGAACGATGATCTCCCCTCGCTCTCGTTCCTGACACTAGATGGCGCTAGTGTATTGTCGATTTGAGCGCGTAATAATACGTTATGGTGTATTTTCTTGGGTTTAAATTAATATTCTCAATGACACCGGCATAATATTTCCAAGCCTTTTTATAGTATCGAACTAGAACTTTATCCCCAATATTGTATGTTGGTTTCGAATTGGTAATATCATCTTTATCTCGTCCGCCGTCATTTATATGAATTCCAATATGAAAGTTGCAGCAGGTGTTCGTTTGATTTTTTGTGATTATTTTTACCGGATTATCCATTTTTTTTCTTAGATGTTATGACCTATGTCTGTATTTTGTAGTTTTTCTCCTTTAAATCTATAAATATGTCCCTATCTATGTTAATAGGTTTAGGTTGTGAACTTCCGTAAGTTTTGTAGAAAGCTTGGTTTTCAGGTGTCAATTTTACGGATGATAACATAGTCACTTTTTGCGTTGTCTTTTCTAAAGTATTTATATCATCGCTATCTTTGTCTTTCCAAATATCTTTTGCCTCAATAGTTTCGTCGCAGGTATTGCAGGTGTGTGCGGCTTTTTCTACTTCCTGTAAATTTTTAACAATTTGTTTAATTACCTGATCTTTAGATAAGGGTCTAATTCAGTATTTTTTCTCTCATAATTTGAGTCAGTCTTGTTCCATGTATCAAAGTTATCAGGTAATATATCACTGAGGCAATCTAATAAGTCAGAATCACTATGTATACTAATTCAATGCTTTCATCTGTCGTGGTAATGCTAGGAGTCCTCTTACGTTTTGTTACAGACTTTTTTGTCGTAGATTTTTTTTCCTTCTTTTGTGATGCCCATTTATTTTTTAGTCTTGGTTTTTTGTTTATATCAGGGTCGTTTAAAACTGTTAAATCCGTTAAATCGTGTTTTAAATTGTTAGAAAAATAGTTGTTATCATCTCCAGAAATAAAATTTTCTTTGTCAGTCCGAATTTTCTTTCCTGTACCTTTTCCTTTTTTAGTAGTATATCTGTTATAATTTGTCTTGTCTGTCAAACACTTGCTTGTTTTTTCTCTTTCTTTTGCCAGTTTTTGTTTATTTGTCTCTTGTTGTTTTTCTAGAAAAGATGCAGTAATTACTTCCGCACCCTTTGCTATATGTTTTAATTTAAATTTCGTATTGGTCTAAGGATGCTGTGTAGCTTTTGCGAGAAGTAATTCTTCGAAGGAAATATTTACTGGATGCGACTGCTCGATGCTCTCTTTAGAGTTCAGAGTAAAGGAATTCATTGTTTCAGAATGAGGGAAAGTAGTATTTAGAGCAGAAACAGGGCTGTAATAAGACACGATTTTGTTTATTTCGTCTAAGCTTATGTGTTTCAGGGATTTTGGTTGATTGCAAGTCGCTTGAGATAATGTGTGCTTTTTCATATGCTTTAGGGTCATATTTTTCTTTTGGTATTATGTCGGCATTAAAAGGGTAAATGCCGCCTTTTCTGAAACCATTTCGGATAATCTCTGGTTTCGTTTCTTGCCACGCTTCTGCAAACATTTCGGAAAAACATTGTTTCCGTAATTTGGAACCAACGTTTTGCCGCTGCCATTGTACGAGTTTCTTGTCCCAGGTGGCTTTAAATGATTTGAAGACGGACAAATCTAGCGGTTGCAATAAATGCAACATGTGCGCTGGGAACTTCACTATAGTAATATTGTTTTCAACGGCTAACGCTACCACTTTATCATCAACATGACTGACATGTCCATTGTACAACAACAGTACGGATCTTTCTTCACCTAAATTGGGAATAATTACGTTTAACATGTAGTTATAAAAAATGCTGGTTTCCATCCAGCCTCGTTGACTGGCAGCAAGCGTATGTAAGTTTGAAATTATATTTTTCTTGATTCTTCACCATCCACAGTTCATACATATGTTTGCCTTTAAATATAATCAGTAGGTCTAACTTTTGCCCAGCCGCATTCACAGTAGTCAAGACTGTGATATTTTCTTTTCCGTTTCCATACGTCGTTCGTGTACAAGGCTTTCCTTTGGCACCTACAACTTTTGTTTTTGTTGGGTCGAGACAAATAGACGTTTCATCTAAGTTCCATATACGCTTAGGATCAGTAAGATTCAACTCACGAAAAGTCTTTTGTAAAAGAGCAAAATATTCGTGGATGACAAATGGATCTGTCATTTTTCTACTAAGGTACTCGACTGCTTGCGGTTTTTTTTATTGATAAATTGTGCCGCTGACGAAAAGAAATGAACCAATCAGGTCCGGATCTGCCATTTTTGAAGGAGGTATCTAAGTTATTGCTTATGGAAAACTCCTGAGCTACATCGAGTACCTCTTTTCTGGATAAGCCCCAACCCCATTTTTCCATCACACGTAGACAGTTTGCAAGCTTGATTTCCAATTCTATTGGGATTGCGGTTGATCTGCCGAGGGTCTTGCTTTTTGTTGCTGTTTTTTTCAAGACTCTATCACTCAGCGTGGATGTCGGTATACTGTCTATTCGTGAAGCGGCTGCGTAGGAGAGTTCCTTATTTTTAATTCTTTGAATGGCAATTTCCAGGACTTCTTGTTTGTACGAAGTCGCCCGCGTTGTAGTTCTAGTATATTTTCGAGGCATCTGCGGATAAAATTTTAAAGTAAGTAATGCGGCCGTGGCACTGAGTGCATCACAGTGTAAACCAGTTCAAATATATCAGCATCGCACAAAATATATAAGTATATATATCTAATAACTAAGTCCTGTCAAAACCAGAACCGATTTTGAAGATGAAGATTAGTTTCGAAGATTAGTTCTAAATAAGTTTTGTAATTATCAGTAGTTGAAAGCCATTTAGTTAATGAATGTATATGCTGGTAACCCTTAATAAAGCTAAATATTACAATAAAACGTAAGTTAGCAGAATATAAACACGAAAATTTTAATTTTAGAGGTCATTCATCACCATATTGCTTCGAAATGCTAATAATTATATATTTATTTTAATGTGTATTTAAAAGTGATAAAAACATCGTATTGTTTTATTACTTTTAAATATACAGACTTGATAACAATCCTGAGTCCCATATTCACTTGAGTAATCTCCGAAAAAATATACACGACCAATGAAAGTTTAACAACCACTGCCATATTTGTAACGGGCAAAGATCGGATAATATTCATCCGATCTTTCCCTCACGCAGGGAAACATCGGATCTCGGCCTACAGCGATCTTAGCCCTGCTTGGACCAGCTTTATCTAGTTATAACTTAATAAAACTTAGTATTCACACAAAATAATAACAAAAGAAGCTATATTCTCGCTAAAAATCATAAATAAAAGTGATAGGGAAAGATCGGATGGACAAAAAAAACAAAAATTACCTTGTTTTATAAAATGCCGCGCAGCACACGTCGGACTTCTCGGAGCGACTGGTGCAAACTGAGGGTCGGGGCAGGATGAAATGGCGTCGTGTAGCATAATGTTAGCATTTCAAAATATAGCATAATTCGCCGGGAATTTGAATCCTACGGTCTTGCCCCATCACCGATTAATAAAGTTTTCAGTCATAATTTAATATTACTCGTAACTTGTCATTATATGAACATAAAATTATATGTCGCAAATTTAATTTCATTGTACATACTAACGGCATATTCTTACAACTAAAAAAACTATATTGTAAGTTTATAAGATTACACTATATAATATTACATATATATATAGAACTTCAGTACAATCACGGTAATTTTATCTATACAGTATTCCAACTTCATACAAACGGACGAAGCGGGAGCTATGCCTACGCGCCTCGATCTCGGCATGCGCTCGGCTTGCAGGTAGTCGTGACTGTGCCGCAGTGATGATTTGTGGAATATATAAAAAATGGAGGAAATATTCTGAACTTCATTTAAAACCAAACATATAAATTGTAAAGTAGCTGCAGGTATCTATAACCAAGTAAAAGATATTCCTTTTCTCCACCTTGTCCATGTTTACCAAAACAATTTTTAAATAAGCTTTATATTAGATTGCGGATTTTTTTATAGTTAAAAATTTAATAATAAAGCATTTCGTACGTCTCAGTCGAGGCGCAAATATTTTTCGTCGCAAATTTACAAGACCGATATTCAAACATAAACATGGTTTTTTAATTAAATCTACCAATCAAAAAACGACACGCATTTTTATTGAACACTTGCTATTCAATTCACAAAGTAACTATTTTATTTGTTTATATCAAAAAAGTATATTTACAATCATAAAACTAAATGGAAAAACAAAGTAGGCAAATCTAATTAAAATTCTGGAGGCAGGCAGCCCTATCGCATTTTTACATACCGCGCGGCTGTAGGCATTTCTTTCAAAGATACGGCCGAGACAATACTGTTATAGATAAAATTACCGTGGTACAATGGTAATTCGCGCTTGACTAGTTTTTTGTAGCAGTAGAATTTATGCAGTGGCTTAGAATCGGTTTGCAAAATTTCTTATATAGGTAAGTATATGTAGGTTACTTGTACAGACCTGCTACCAACATAATTACATACGTAAACGGCTGTCACATTACATACATACACGGCGAAAACTATAAAACTCAAGCTTAGTACTAAACCAACAATGGGCAGATCCTTCCACTATAAGAGGAAATTTCCAGTAAAAGCTGACCTCTCATTGTACGTAATGCGTTTACAATTTGAGATCAGCTTATACTGGAGAGTGTAGTTTGGTAATTATGTAGCCACGTGTACTAGTAACATATCTGTTACATGTTTAGGTAGGTAGAAAATACTCACGTACTCACAAAAAGCTAAACTATCAAGGTACGTCAGTACTCAATAGGTCCATAATTTTATGTACTTATGTAGTAGGTAGCACTATAGTAGTTATTTTTTTTTTAAAACGTTACCCCCACACTAGGATTTTCTCTTGTATCATTGAGGCAGTTTACAAATATAAATTGCACAAAGACAAACATCCAGATCCGGAACAATTATTTGTAGGTCATACAAATAAATGTTCCGTGCGGGATTCGAACCCACGGACTCCAGCTCAGCAACTCATTGCTAAGCCAGTGCACTACGGAGTACCGATAATGTAAGGACGGATAAGTATTTTAGTTTTATTTCTTTATAGTTCGATATTATAGGTAGGTACTTACCGAACACACTTATATTTTTTTTACTAAGTGCCTTGGCTTCTGCACTACGGGTCGGGGGTTCGATTCCCATACGGAACAAATATTTTATTGGCCTACAGATAGTTGTGAAAATTTGTGTTTGTAATCGCACCGTCTCCGATTCAGGAGAAATCCTGGAGTGGGGCAACGTTATAAAAAAACAATTACTACTAATTTTGTTGAATATTGACAAAACAAAAACAAACCTATTTAGGTAACTTTATCTTTTTTTTTAATAAAGTTGCACCACACTTGAATTCTCACAAATTTTCACATACGGAAACACCTGTGACTAGCAGCGCAACAACCAATCGCTTAGCCACTGCATCAAATCTGCTGCTCTAAATTTCTACATAATATTGTAATCACCAATACTGTAAGTAGATAGGTCGGTAGATACTTACTTCATTAAGTTTATCATACGCTTCGTTATTTATTACGCTTATTTCACATTGCGCCAACACTATAAACCTAAGTGTCTATTTTAATATTTTAAATTTACGTCGTCCTGTTGCGTAATGTATGTTCTGAGCACAAGCGACACAACCATCCCCTTCAAAAGCCGGAGCTAGAGTGAATGACGGTGTCGGGCGGTTTAAAACGACGATAGTTTAGGTAATTTCTTTTTACGGTGAAAGTAATGATAAATAAAAAAAGTAAATAACATAAGCCCTGCTTTATAGTTAGTTCAGTTAGTATGCAAAGTTTCATGATCTAATTTTAAGTATTTTTTGAATGCCAGCGGTTTATAATTCGGTTTGGAGGTAACTTTGGATTTTTTTTCTATCGAGAAAATTATATGGAATCGTGTTTTCGTCTAACATAGTACTTAACATTAATCCTCAACTTCACCATATATTTATTTCAAAAACAATGGATGCAGTAGTTTCGGAATAACAGAGGATCTTGCTAAGCCATTTGAGGTCATATAGGCCCTTAATAACGGATACTAGCCATCTGCGCTGGACAAGATTACAGTGCTCGAGTGCATGCGCCAGCACAGGTGCACACTATATTCCCATGAGACGGTAACCGGACATAAAAAACCTATTTTTTTTTATTGAAGCACTTACAGCTGTACTATTAATGTTAAAGGTAAAGTTTTAAGACATATTTAGGTTAAATGTTCATATCTAAACACCTCATAGCAAAAAGCAAGTGATTTTTAGATAATTGAACTACCAGACCAAGAACGCTTTTATAGATCTGTAAGTGCAATATGAGCAAGGTCGCAGGCTAGTCGTAAATAAACGCGATACAATTAAAATGCGACGTAAATTACGTTACTACTTCAATTATTCCCAGGAGGCAGTTACCCCATTTTACTATTATTGATTTTCCTCATTCATTCATTTTACTATTAATGAGGACGTTATTCACAATTATCTCCTTACGAATTGCGAACAGCAAATGCATAACTAAAGACCTCGTTATCGTGGATTCCTACCATACCATTTTTTTATTTGTAAAATCAAAGTGATAGACGACTTAAAATCCACTTGATAGTAAGTGGTTACTGAAGTGCAGAAACTAAATTCAAATAAATAAGGCTAAATTGTTAAGTCACCCCTAAAGACTAAGCTGGGTCCCCATTGTCTGTAACCATTTATAATAATGTATTTATTTATGTAGGGCTAGCAGAAATTAATGAAATCATATTCATTATTCATTACAGCCTATCAGTTCAGTGCTGAACAATGAATCATCATAGGTAGTTTATTAGGTAAATATTTTTTATATATTTTTTAATCTGCGTTTGACAAACCGGCGTGGCAACTATGTAATATACCCCCTATAACCCCCTATTACTATCATAAATATACTCCCTATGAGACAATCTACGAGAGAGGCCTATATCAGAATTGGAATTTTAATATGCCGTACCGGTAAAGAACAAACAAGCACACAGTTCACCTGATGGTAAGTGTATGTTGTGATCTATAGATATCTACATCTATTCTCGATTAAGAATCGAAATGCAAATGCATCAGCCCTTGATGACTAAGATGGAAAGCCTCGCTTCCTGTAAAAGGGGTCCTGGGTTCTCTGCATTCACCATATGTAACTCAACAGCATTAGGCTGCTATTTTATACTCATATTCTGTAATTGTATTCAAAATACTAGTATTCGGTTCATATTTGGATTGCGCAAATTTGACCACATTTCCCAATTTCGCTCACGTCTCAAGTGGTTACCTATCCAATTTCGCCGGAACATGCATATTCTTTCTATTCTTTACTGTGTCTTATTTCACCCTTCTACTCCTCCTTATCTGGAGAAATTTAGTTTTGTTGGGCTTCCAGGGGAACCTTTACGCTCTTCAAGAAAACTCATTTTAAGGGTACCAACTCACAATACATCTTTCTTTAATAAATCTTTTACTGTACAGTCTATTAAGCTCTGGAATGCCCTACCTTTGTATTTACGCGAAGCTCAGACTATTGTAGTCTTTAAGCGACT